ACGAACACTGTCAAACATAAAGCGACACTGCCCCCCAGCTACGCCGACGTGATTTGATATTCACGTGTTATCGCACGTGTATCGCGTTGTAGATTAGCGCCCCTTTGGCCGGCGATCCCCAGAGGCCGCTATTCGCGCTTCGTTTATCCCTTTTTTACGAGTGCGGTCCTCGACTGGCGTTTTGTGATTTTTTGCAGGTTATCAAAACTGTTTTGCACTTATTTCATATTCACACTCGGTTGGATTGTCGGGATCAGGATAATTTCAACTCCTATTTCTGTTTTTCGGGTCGAGAAACTACTTCTGTTTTTGCGGAACTGTTAAACAGTTATTTTTAAATACTAGACAACATACTCATTGCTTTTACTTAATTGGGATTTTCTACAACTATCACTAGTGCTTAAATTATATTCGGAAATGTTTTCAAGGTCACGAATATTGCTTCACATGAATTAGCATGGAAAGGAATTTAAGGATTTTCTACTTGCATTCAATTTTTTTCAAAGAAACCGATAATTTGGGAAACCTAACAAATCGTATCTTCTCTAAAATTGCACAAGGTGGTTCCAAAAGATTAACAGTTTCTAACTCTAAATGCAATTTGGAAGGAAGAAAATTTAATGGGAAGGTACCAGAACCGCCCAGTTGGGAAGAGCACTAACATATCTTGTGGTTTACATCCACAACCCCTGATATAACAATTGACATTAAAAAAAGTTAAAATAACCAATCATTCTACAGGAACTACTGCAGACTCAAATTTGGACAAAAAGGTGTTGGGAACAACATCTCATAAAAATTACAGGGCACAGTAACTGTCAATCAGTCAAAACTTACTTAGATTTGGGTGTAGAGCATCATAGGCAGATGATTCAAAACATGAAAAAGGCTACACCAAATACTAATAAGGAAAATATAACCAAAATATAACAAAATATTACACTAAAACAGAATATAACGGGGTGCAAATCATTAACTCAAACCAACCCACAACTGTTTATAGTAACAGTGTATTTAATGTTACTACTCGTAATAATTATAATAAGCAATTTATACTTAATATTCATCTGTTTCTGTATCAAATTTTTATAACATTGAAAACATTATTAGCGATTAATGAATTAATGTTATTAATTCTATCTGTTCAAAATAATAAACCATAAGACGGGTTGCGCAAATAAATAAATAAATAAATGAGTATGGTGATTAAACCCTCTCGACTTTTTTATGGAGATATGTAAATAATGAAGTTGTAACATCACGTAAAGATTTATCTTTTTGTTGGTTGGTAATTACTATGTTAGTAATTAACATTTACCGATTTCATTTAATAATTGTAGGAACCAATAACAAATAATAAAATAATTGCATTTGCTAAAAAAATATCTGTAATAAAACTACTTATTTTTTTCCTCGTTAAATTATTTTCGTTTTTTTGTGGGTAAACTTATTATACAAATCTACCATCTGACTGTGTGCTTTACACTAGATAGGTATTACAGTCGACTAAGTTCTAGTGACGTGTAGAAAAATATTTTTATATCAAAGTGTACATGTTGACTTCTTGTTATTCTCTGGTATTATAATTTTGGATAACCCTGTATAAGTAAATAAAATATTTTATTTTTGGCTCTGTATTACATCGAACTTTAGATATATTATGTACGCTAAGTTTTAATGTACTATCTGATATTTTAAATGTATAAAATACAATATTCCAACCAGTTTACAATATATGTAAGTCCACTGCAACACAGAGATAAAAATCAGATATTTTGGACAAGATGTGTTGCTGTAGGAGGATAGTAATTAATTCATTAATTATTATTTTTTTTTAATTTCACAATATTCCAATTTTTATCAGTATGGTTTATGAATTGTTAGTGATATATTACGAAAACTATCCGCAATTACATCATTTAAATTAAATTGCATACATGGCTCCTGGTAAATGATAAAAAATTTTGGAAGCTTCTGTTACAACATCTAGGTCAATTAAAATCCAATTTCTGACACGGCATTTGTAAGAAACCAAGTATGCTGGCAAGTAATAAGGTTAATTAAATAAAATTGACCTTAATTTCTTTCCCTAGTCACATTTTATTTGGATACAATTCCGGCAACACGATAAGAAAGAGCTTTTACAACTCTCAGAATTAAGGAAGTTGTTCCTTACACTAATTGGTTCAAATAGCAAAATTCCTTTATTACGTGTTGCTTTGCTCGAATGTCATTATATTGCAGAGCAACCGAAACTAAGAATAGCCAAGAATTTTAGCATTTTTGGAGGTTTAAACTATCGAAAATACTGGAGTGTTAAAATCATGAAAACGATACCTATATTGCAAATATATTCTCAAGCATTTTAAAACTTCCTTCTTTATTATTATTTCGTATGTCCAAAAAAAGTGAAGCGTTATTAAAACATTTTTGCAAAGAATTTTGTAAGAAAAAATTTAATATCTCGTTGGCATTTCACGTCATTTGTGTCCACATAACTAAAATATCTCCAGCTCTCCAATATTTTCGGTTATACAGACGCCAAATAACAGCCTTGGCGTTTTAAACAGAATACTATAATTAATTAAACTTCTTCAGTTGCTTAATATGATATTAAAGATGATAATATAAATGTCAAATAAGTAGAAAGCAAAAATGTAGTAAGAAGTATGAAATTCCATTTAAAATTCCCAGTTGGTGTTAATTTAAACCAGAATACCAAAGAACATACACCTATTTGCACGCGTTGTTTAAAATTTATATTAATAACTCCTCTGGTTATTACAATTACATCATATCATCACGTATATTCCCTGATCAATGGAAAATTTCAAGAATATGCCCCGTATATAAAAAAGGAAGTAAGCATGATGTCATTAACTATCGACCTATTGCAATACTGTGTAACTTCAGTAAGGTTTTTGAAACTGCTATACATCGTGTCCTCTCTTTTCAATTAAAAAATATTATACTGCCTGAACAGCATAGATTTATGGAAGGACGGTCAACAGTCACGAATTTAGTATGCATTACTCAGTTTATCAGCGAGGCTACAGATCAGAGAAGCCAAGTAGACGTAGTCTATACAGATTTTTCGAAGGCGTTTGACCGTCTCGACCATGAACTATTAATAGATAAATTAAGCGCATTTGGACTATCGTCAGACTTTCTCGAACTAGTGCATTCATATTTCACTGGCAGAACTCAGTTTGTTCAAATTTCTGGTGTTAAATCTACTGAATTTGTCCAGACTTCAGGTATTCCGCAAGGTTCTTTTCTTGGTCCCTTGTTGCATTATTTATTAATGATATTACTTCTTAGCCGAATGTGCGTTATTTGTTATACGCCAATGATATAAAAATTCTCTAATTGATGCCATCAATCTACAACGTAATCTAGATATAATTAACTCTTGGCGCATTGCTAATAGGCTGCCTCTGAATTCTACAAAACGTAATGTCATGACTTTTAGTCGACGAGGTGATCAAATTCAGTATGAATATAGTCTGAATGGGTTTGCCCTTCAACGACCTGACCTTGTTAAAGATTTATGCGTATCTTTTGTCAAGCTTATTGAAATTGTGGTAATGAATGCCTACAAAAGTTTGGGATTTATTCTTCGAAACATGTGGAATTTTATGAAAATTAATACTTTGAATTTAAATTTAATTTTATGTTTGTATAAGTATGTTTTTGCATTTGTTTGTATTGTATTATAGCGTTTTAATATTATCTGTCTGTTACCTGTTTGTTTTAGATATTATGTTTTGTGATATTTATTTTGTTTTAAGAATAGTTTTTATCTCTTTCACCTATTTTTATTACTTTTTTTAGTGTAACCTTATCATCTAACTGGGCATTGCCCGTTGGATATTGTAATTAAAATAAATAAATAAATAAATATATAAATAAATAAATAAATAATACTGCACTAAATTGTCCCCAAAATTCTAAGTATTTTCATAAATAGATGCTTCTTAAATGGTTGTATGTCTATTTTATTTCCTTTCATTTAAAAAGCAACAATAAAAATAAGAATCATATCTAGGTCACAATAAGTTCATATCATAATGGAATATTAAACACATTTTTCTATGATTTTTTTTGTAAAGTACAAGATTTAATATCGCGGCTATTAAAGCAACCAAGGTATTGAATCTATTTTACTGCTAAGTTAAACATATACAGCCTTATTCATAAAGACCTACTTAGTATAATACTAACAATCTATTACTTAATAGCTACTAAGAAGCTATTAAGCTATTCATAGTTGAAATTTTAGTAGTTACTTGTTAATTGCATTTTCAACGACAGAAACATTTGGCAATGCGGCATATTTACGGATTCCGTGGTTCATTCGACCTACTTGGAAACATTTTTATGTATTTTAACCTCACTTTAACTTGACGTGACATACGTGCATCATATCAACTTTATTCTTTGTACAATTTCAACTTGTTCATGTTATTATGGAAGATTTAGGATTACTGGATGTGAATGAAGAAGGGAATGAAGCTGAAGAAGCCAATATAATAAATAGACATCCAAAAGTTTACTTGCCAAGACAAAATCCTTTTGTTAAATATGATGATATACATTTTAAAAACAGGTACAGAATGAGGAAAGAAACTGCTCGGTTTATCATACAATTAGTAGAGGAAGAATTAGGTAATTTTGAAAATAACAGGGGATTACCCATAAACACAGATATACAGGTTCTTGCTACGTTAAGATATCTAGCTAAAGGTGCATACGGAACAGAAATTGGTAAGTAGTTTATGTAGTATCTAGTTATATAAATACAGTTTTTTTGTTTGCAGCTGATCATCATGGCATTTCACAACCCTCATTAAGTAAAATAGCAAAACGAGTTGTAGTTGCTATAGCCAGACATAGAGAAAGATTTATTTCGTTTCCGGACTATGATGAACAGCAGAGTATTAAAGCAGATTTTTATCGAATAGCAGGTTGCCCAAGAATTGTCGGTGCAATTGATTGCACTCACATAAAGATAAAAAATCCAGGAGGTGACTATCCCGTTTTGTTTATAAACCGTAAGGGGTATTATTCGCTTAATGTACAGGTATAAGAAAGTTAAAGAATAACATTTGTCTTATTCATCCATATGTACCTATATTATTTTCATTTTTTAGGTCGTTAGTGATAGCAAATGCAGAATTAGACATTGTAGCACGATGGAGGGGTAGTACGCATGATTCACGTATCTGGAATGAGTCTTCGTTGAAGAGAAGATTTCAGGTAGATAAATTATACTTAATTTTATATAATTATTATTATAGTGATATCTTAAAGGCAGGTGATACTACAGGCATATTACTGGGTGACAATGGATATGCATCAACCAGATATTTGTTGACACCTGTGTTAAATCCAGTTACAGATGCTGAAAATAGATATAATAGAGCACATTGTTCGACAAGGAATGTTGTTGAGAGGTTGTTTGGTATTTGGAAAAACAAATTTATGTGCTTTTTCAATGGTCTAAATTTAAAGTTGGAAACAACAAAAGCTGCAATTGTCGCAGCAGCTATTGTACATAATATAATTATTAATGATAAATTAGAAAACGAACGTCAAGGTAATATTTCTTTTATACATAATACATCTACATTGTACCATTCATAACATTTTTAGATTTATCAGATGATGATAATGATGATGAACACCCAGACGCTGAGGATTTCAGAGTAGAAATAGAAGATAATGCTCAAGGAAATATATTTAGGAGACAATATATTCAACGTTATTTTAATTAATTGTTAAACATATTTGAAATATTTGAAAATGTATATTTATTGAAAATAAAAACAACAAAACAGTTTATTATTACATATTAGAGTTTTATATATTTATTAACAGTAATTATAAATATTAATTTTCTCTATTCTAAAATGTTGAAGTATTTTAATAAGAACTAATAGAATTATGACGTACATACTTTTACAGAACTATCACTATCAAATGTAGAGTAATCATCAGTAAATTCATGTGGAAGGAGGTCTTTTATTTTATAATCTATATCACTCGGTTTGGGCTCGGGAGGCCCACCACCTGTTTGACACATACTTTTTTCATGCCGTCGTATTGCCGTCTTTGCTTGCACTTTCATTCTTTGCCATTGTTCCTTCATCCTCAGAATGTCTCTGGTATAACCTAATAAATGTACATGATTATTTTTTTCTTCTTCATTAATAAATATCACTCACCTTGGACATTCATTTTACATTTTATACGTTCCCATGCAGCATGTGTGTCTCTATTTAATATGGTAAGTTTCTTTTTATTTTCAATAATTTTTATTTCCTCACAAATTAAATCTAAAAAAATACATTTTTCTGTCTCTTCCCAATTATGTGAGCGTTGACGTTTTCTCTATAAAATAGCCATTAAAACTATTGTAAATCAAACGTACTTAGGTAAATATTTACATTAGCGGAATCCGGTAAAAAGTGCTTAAAATTTTGCTGTATTCACACTCTAACCTAAATATACCTACATTAAGGTTTGAGTTTACAATTTTGATGTTTTTTCTCAAAAACTACATCCGACCGGAAAAAAAAATAACTTCAGATTCATACTCAGCAGCCTCGAAAATAGAGAGTAGCTAAAATTTTAGGAACCATTTTCCGAATTCCGCTAATGTAAGGATTTACCCGTACTTATACCTGTGAATACATGTGAATAACTACTTACATTTTCTTTTATAGCACATTGTATAACACATAAAATATAAAAAAGATATAACTGTAACTAAAAATATCTTGGTTAGACTTTTCAGAAAACTTCAAACTTCAAATGTAGACAGACGAGATGACAGATGACGGTTTTTTTATACTATCTCCGATAAACATACCCCAGCACGCTACTAAAAATTTAGTTACCAACTAGGACTAATAGTTTACTAATTCCGTTTATGAATACAAATTTCTTAGTAGGATCTTAATAGGATGTTAGTAGACAGTATTATCGTATATGAATAAGGCTGATAATTTTTTCGCTGATCAATTTTAATTTTATCATAATAGCAAATATTTATTTTAAATTATTAAAATAATTTCATCAGGTCGTCTGTGGTTACTATGAGACGAGTGTTATTAAGTAAATAACTTAGGTACATAGTAATCGCCATCTACTTAAATCCATAAAAATAACTATTTATTATTTGAGATGGAATGGAGATGGAGAAGAATTCACATTAACTCCACCAGAAATTATTGAATCAGCAAAGTAAATCGTGTAATTTATTACCAGAAGAATCGAAGATCAGCAAAAATGTAAGAAAATTGATTACCGGGCTGAGAATAACATTGTATTTTCCAGAAAATGTAGGTACTATTGGTATATTTTCAGAATTAAGCAAAAGTATGAAATCTTCTTCATTATGGTCAATATATGCGATCCTCAGAGCTACTTTGAATGTCTACAACTTCGATATTGGAAAGTATCTAAAATGAAACGCATTCTAGAAACGGCAATCGGATGGATATCGTCCTAAAAAATCACTCGTTTTAGAAACGGAACAAATTAAAAAAATTCTAACAAATTATTTTTGTAAACGAAGTATACTGACTATTATTATTATATTGGGTGGTAATGATTTTTGCCATATTTGGGGCGTGTCGATGTGATGAATTACTTCAAATAAAAATAGGATATATTGAAAATATGGGAAATAGATTGCCGATCACTCTGCGAACTACAAAAACAAAAAAAAGATCATTTATCGTAAGGAATATTTATATTGTATATGGAAATATAGGACATACAGCAAGACCTAAACAAATAGATAGTAGTTTAGATATTCTAATGATAAACCATACAACCAATTAATAGGAATTCGTACATTTTGGAAAATACCAAAACAATATTCATTAATTCCGCAATTCTACTACACAAACAAACCAACAAAAGCTCTATGAAAACGATTTTTTTTTTTTTCAAAATGTGTAAATGTTTATATTTTACATATCGATTCTATTTTTAATGGCCAATAGACCTCCAAAGTTTTTCAGATAGATTGTGAATCACTCTGTACATGCATTTTCCTCTAAATTATCTCCAGCCATTTTTTTACTCTGTTGCAGTATTCTAATGCAAACCTTTCAACTTGTATCTCCTCACCAGAAAGGTCATAACCCGCGAGGAGGACCAAGATATCGCATTTCGAAAAACTTCCTCGCATTCACCTTTGAAACCCGGAAATCTGGCAAGACATCGCGTGTGCATGGCTTTGCATCGGTTCACTTTAAACAGAAGCAATCAACAATGCGGCTGGCAATAACACGTTGTTACCAGGCAGCGGTGTAATTGAATATTTGAATATTTCACATTAAGCACGGCAACAGCAATAACCCTTTATAGTGGCGGTATCGGAGGTCCGATTCGTATCAGTCCAGTCATTACACTTTTTATGGTGCTGGAAATTGCCAACGTTTTTCTGTTTCCATAACGTTGGAAAAGCGAAAATACATACTCGGAAAATAATAAGTAGAAATAAATTTGATCAAAGATAGAAAACCTGCGATACCTGATTTTGAACTTGAAGGTAATGGGTGGACGACAGGTAAGTTTCTAATTTCATTGTGCATGTTCATTATGTAGCCACTGGATAATGTCAATATTTTCAGATAGTTATTAAGAATTCCTTAAATATACTGCGGTCAGTTAACATATTCCAAAGAAGTAATCAATTGGAAACAACCGCGGCGTGATCATAAAAGTAGACAGAGACCAATTTAGGAAAGTGGAAATATAAGAAAGAATGTAAGACTCGAAAATATATCTAAGTAATAAGTAGAATACAGTATACAAGGTCTGTTCAGAAATAAGTTTTTTAAATTTTATTATTAATATTTAAGTAGGTACTCCCCTCCACTATTCAGCCCCTTTGCCCAGCGATGTTTCCATTTCACGAAGCAGTCCTGGATAGCTTGATTTGAAATGGCCTTTAAAGCATGTGACTAATTTGCTTTGATGTCATCAATAATCTGAAAACAGTGTCCTTTCAACACTGATTTTAATTTCAGAAATAAGAAAAAATCATAAGGAGCCAGGTCTGTCGAGTAAGGAGGCTGAGGGATGACAGTAATCTGATTTTTGGCACAAATGGACGAATTGATAAAGCTGAGTGTACGGACCATTGCCATGAGTTGTCTTGCCACAACTCTGATCTCATTTTGCAGATTTTTCACTGTTGTAAAACGCCTTGATAATAAACACGGTTCGCTGTTTCACCTTGAGGCAAGAATTATTCAAAATCCACAGTTCTACGAAATTCGAAAAAAAAAGAACAGTGAGCATTGCTTTGACATTGGACCGAGACTACTGTGCTTTCTTGGGGCGTGGAGATCCTTTGTCAATCCATTGTCATGATTGAACTATTGTCTCAATGTCGTAGCCGTAAACCCAGCCTTCGTCTCCTTAATGATCCTTTGAATGAATATTTCATCGTCATTGGATTGTTCAAGCAGTTGTGAACAAACGTCCACAGGATTTTCTTTCTGCTTTCTAGTCATCAAACAAGCAACAAATTTTGATGCATCTTGATGCATGTTCAATTTTTCAATCAAAATTTCATGGCATGACCGAATTGAGATGCTAACATCTGCATTTTCTCTGACAGTCAATCGGTCATTTTCACCCACCAGATCAATGACTTTCTGAACGTGAGAGTCATTAGCTGAACTAGAAGGCCTTTCTGGCCGAGGATCATCTTCAATTGACTGAAGACCACTTTTAAATCGATTTGAATCGACTTAAATCAGCCCGTGAGTCTTTTGTTACAGATTTTTTTTATTGTTTCTAAATATTAGGAATAATTTTTTTCATAAACGCATATTTAGACTAAAATAAAGCATTTTCCTTGTTTTATTTGACGAGAAAAAAAAGTATGTCAAATATTTTTTATGTAATGTATGTAATTTTTTATGTTCCTGGTATATATGTATTTGCATTGTCTGTACATGGATATCTGTACATATATCTATTTACCTTCAAATGCTATTCCATTTTTAGCGCTATTCAAAACATTTGCACCAATGGGGAAAAAAAATTATGTATAAATTTAATAAATTCCTTTGGTTGTCAGTTGTCTCTGCACGTGGAATCAAAATAGCGTCCATCAAACCTCATAAAACGTTTGTTATATACGAGGGGCAGACGAAAACTGCTAATCGGCCCAAGAGTAAAGCATCTTTATTTTCAATCCTAGAGGAAAATATTGTAAAGAAAAGTTCAAGTTGGCTGTGCACTCGTTTTCCTTCTATAACATTAGCCTGAATATAAAGTTTCAGTTCATTATGTTGAAAAAGCGATTTCTGACATTGTTGCAACTTTCCCTTGTATCATAATTCGAGCGAAAACATCTATTACTAATGTCACGCTTTTTTGTATGCTTCTACGAGAAAAACACAAAAAACAAGTCGAATCAGGAACTAATTAAAGCCATTATAAAAATGGTGTAGAAAGTAAGAACTTTGGTGCAAACTTTATTTTATTTTCAAGAATAATAATAAATCTAAGTAAAATGGTAAACCTCGTATACATCACTTCATAAATATACAGTTACATAGTTCATTTGGTCAATAAAAATTAGCCCTGGTTGCTATAAGGTGGAAACAATTTTTATTTTACCAAAAAATACAAAAAAAAAAACAAATAAGAAATACAAAAAGAAAACTTATCCTTAGCAATCAACTACGGAAAGCCCTACTTCTAGGTGAACTATTGTAGGCGATACTTCTACAATAACATTAAA